CGAAGATGGATTGAAGATATGCAGTTGGTTGACCATAGGCTCACGTGGTCATATACATGGTGGAATAAACAAGCTGAAAATCCAATCGCTAGGCGTATTGACAAAGTGTTAGTTAATGACCGTTGGTTGGATGTCTTCAAATCTAGTTTGGCAAAAACCATTAGTCCTGGAGTATCATATCACTGTGGAGTCTTGCTTAAACAGGTTCTAGAGTTGAAATCTCTCCCTAAATTGTTTAATTATTTTAAGTTCTAGCGATCACACCCTCAGTATCAAGGTTTGCTTCATGATTCCTAGTGTGTTCCATCCTCTTCCTCTTCGCCATTTGGTACCATTACTGCTAAGCTTACCAATCTTAAGAAAGGGCTTAGATCTTAGTTCTCTAATATTTCAGCCAAGGCTAGAGAAGCTGAGTTTTTACTAGTTGATGCTCAGGCTAGAGTCCTCTCAGATCCTTCAGAGGCTAATGTTGAGGAAGAGAAAGATAAGGCTACCATTTTTGCAACTTTGCAAGCTATTGAAGAGAGTTTTTATAGGCAAAAATCTAGAGTGCAATGGGTTTGTGAAGGTGATTTCAATTCAAAGTTCTTCCATCAGAATGTTAAAATCTTAGCTAAAAAGCATACTATTGACCATCTAATCTATGATGATGGAGCATTTATTGAAGATGTAATCCAGATGAGCCAGATTGTTGTTGATTTTTAAAAAAATTTTTTTTGGGGTAACGAAATCTATAGGTGGAGGATAAACATGTGGGTTACTTTGAGAATCTACTGAGGCATAAGCTCCTCTCAGTGGACAAGGAAATTTTGTCTAGGCATGTCACTAGAGATGAAGTCGAAGCTATCTTCCTATCCATGGCACCTAATAAGGCTCCTAGCCCGGTCGGATTTCCTGCGGATTTTATAAGGCAGACGGAGAGGTGGTGAGCTCGGATGTGGAAGATTTTGTTCTTTGGTTTTTTCAAACTGGCTCCCTTCCTCGTCATGTAAATTCAACCATTCTTGCTTTGAGCCCTAAGGTCCCTAGTGCAGAAAGGATGAAAGATTTCATGCCTATTGCATGTTGTAATGTCTTGTATAAAGGCATATCCAAACTTCTTGCTAATAGACTTGCATTGGTTCTGCCTAGGGTGATAGGTAATTCTCAATATGCCTTTGTGAAGGGTAGTCTTATAAGTGACAACATTCTAATGGCCTCAGAGTTGGTTAGGGATTATCATAAAGCCTCTATTTACCCTAGGTGTGTAGTTAAGGTTGACCTAATTAAGGCATTTGACTCAGTTGGCTGTTTATTCTTGTTTAAAGTAATGGTAGTTGTGGGATTCCTTGAGAGTTATGTTGATTTGGTTAGAACATGTGTTAGGACTCCAATGTTTAGTGTTTCTTTCAATGGTGGTTTTTGTGGGTATTTTTGTGCGGGTAAGGGACTCAGGCAAGAGGATCCACTCTCCCCCTACCTATTTACCATTGCCATGGAAATTTTCTCTTGTTTAATGCATAAAGCTGCCATTGAAGAACACATTCCCTACCACCCAAGATGTAAGTTGTTTGATATTCCCATCTTTGCTTCGCTGATGATTTATTCGTATTCACTAATGGTTCTGTTAGAGGGGTGGCTAGAGTTAGGAGATTCTTGCATGAATTTTATAATATCTCAGGGCTAAAATGTAATCCAGATAAAGGCCAATTATTTTGTGGTGGTATTTCTGAGATGGAGAAGGTTTATATCTGGACATACTTGATTCCCTTTTGGACAACTACCAGTAAGGTAGTTGGGGGTGCCACTAATATCTGGTAAACTTCAAGAATGGATTGATAAGTATTGGTTGATAGAATTACTGTAAGGATTAGGGATTGGCAGGCCAAGGTCTTGAGTTATGTAGGGAGAATTGAGCTTATTTCATCAGTTGTATCCAGTGTCTTGCAATTTTGGATGAATATTTTCTTACTGGCAGCATCTGTTCTAAAAGACATCAAGGTGATTTGCAATAATTTTCTTTGAAGTGTGGGGAACTCAGGTGCTCGTTCTAGGGCTCTTGCTGCATGGAAGTATGCAATCACGTTAACAACAGAAGGTGGACTGGGTGTGAAAGATTTTAGAACTTGGAACAAAGCATGTGTGGTTAGACACTTATGGAACATACTTGCAGGGTGTGGATCGCTTTGGATTGCCTAGATAAAGCGCTACAGGCTCAAGAGGAAGTCAAACTGGGATATAATCCTACTTCGACGGGATCTTGGGTCTGGAAACGTATCCTTAAGGTCAGGGATGTGTCTCATAAATTTATTTCTGGTTCTGGGATCTCTCTGCTCTAGCATTGTCTCCACATGGAGCGCTTCTCTCTAACTCGTGTCTGGTATGATATTTGCGAACATCACCCTCAAGTGGACTAGTCCTGTCTGGTTTGGGGCAGGCCTAATATCCCGAAATACAGTATGCTGCTGTGGATAATTATTCATAATCAGATTGTTACGAAGGACAAGCTTGCTGAGTGGGGTAAACAGAGTGATCCTGCCTGTGTTTTGTGTCTGGGTGTGCTGGAGAGCAGAGGGCGCTTGTTTGTTGAATGCTCTTACACCTAACATGTGATGTTTTTGCTTCTGAACTTTGCATTCCAAGATTTCTCATATTGGGATAGTTTTTTGTTGTGGGTTGTTCATCGGTTGTGGGTAGGGAAGTGAATCGGTACGGTATCGGTATCCCAATATCAAATACCGAAATTCCGAATACCGAATTACATTCGAAAATTAATCCCAATCTCTAAATAATTTCGGTATCTCAATCCCAATCCCTAAATATTTCGGTATCCCAATCGGTACTTCGATATCTCAATCGGTATTATCGAATACGAAATTAATTACCTTTACAATTAATAATTAAATATAGAAATTAGATTTGATTGTTTAATATAGGACAAAGAGACTAAGCAAAGACTCTTGAGTTTGGAGAAGAGGTGACATCTCAAGTTTTTTACATTGGTAATCTTTAATTTGACGAATTGGAGGCTGAGAGAAGATTAATACTAGTGTTTGCTTTTTGGTGTTATGAAAATAACAATAGATTGGTGGTTGAGGGTCATGTAGTAGTGTGTGTGTGAGAGTCTAATTGAGAGGATAAAATACACAGTAGCTTATATTTCGGTATTGTTCGGTATTTCAGTATATACCGATCCCAATCTCGTAATCCCTAATACCGAATAACAATTGAAATTGAATCCCAATTCCAAAAAATAATACGTGTATTCGGTAATACCAAATATAGACAAATTTGATACGATATTTGGTATATCTCGAATACCGGTACCAAACTTCCGGCCCTAGTTGTGTGGACATAATTACGTGTTATATGCCTTGAGAAGTTGATTTGGAGTATGATTTTATGCAATATGTGGAAAGAAAGGTGTCGAAGGCTTTATGGTGAAGGCTCTGTTCGTGCTCCATCCCAGTTAATTGCCTCCATTCGATCTGAAGTAGAATGTTTAGCTGTTAGAAATACAGAGATGAAAGTAATGGTAGATAGAGATTTTTTTATTAATGAGATTTCAAATATAATTAGTTCATTGTAATTGAGACTATACACTTGAGAGGACCTTAGTTTCAAGGTTCCTGGAGCTTAATGAGATTTTTTGATTGCGCATAAAAAAAATTATTATAAATTTCAAATATAATTAGTGTATTATCGTTGCGGAGAGCGGGCAAAAAAACTATATGATTATTTCATTGTAATTGAGACTATACACAATAATACACTTGAGAGGACCTTACTTTCAAGGTTCCTGGAGCTCAATGAGATTTTTTGAATGCGCATAAAAAAATTTATTATAAATTTCAAATATAATTAGTGTATTATCGTTGCGGAGCGCGAGCAAAAAAATCTAGTTATTTAATTACAAAACTAGGGATGGCAATGAGACGGATTTCCCTAAACTATCCTCATACCCATGCGGGGAAGGTTTAGCAAACTCATCCCCATACCCGTGGGTTTCGGGTACCCATGAGTAATACCCACCCCGTACGTCCAACATTATTAAACCTAGGACTTTACATATAAATTTTCAATTATAACACTATACGGACGTACAAAGATACAATAATTATTTTGCAACTCTAATCATCTACTAAGTAATAACTAACTAAAATAATTATCTTGTTAACAAAAGTGAAAGTGAAAGAATGCAAGAAGAATTGAAGAAAAGGAATTAGGTTTTGATTTGGATGGACACTCAATTGCCTTTCTACTCTTTATTTTCTTGATCCATGTACTTTTGATCCATGGACACTTTATTATCATTGATAGGTTACAATTTGATCCAAGTACATTTTATATGTGAAGAAATATTCTTGGTAGGACTGGTATGGGTATGAGTATGGGGAGGGAGAGGCTAAAATCATACTCGCCCCATACCAATCAAACATTTTACAGTTTTATCCATATCCGTTCAATGCGAAGATTCCTTGTGTTGATTGGGTCGAGGGCAGTCAGATAACCACGTCTAGGTGTGAAAATCGGTACGGTATCGGTATCCCAATACCAATAACCGAAATCCTGAATATCGAATTACACTCTAAAATCAATCTCAATCTCGATCCCTAAATAATTTCGGTATCCCAATCCTAATCCCTCAATATTTTGGTATCCCAATCGACTAAGTAATAACTAACTAAAATAATTATCTTGTTAACAAAAGTGAAAGTGAAAGAATGCAAGAAGAATTGAAGAAAAGGAATTAGATTTTGATTTGGATGGACACTCAATTGCCTTTCTACTCTTTATTTTCTTGATCCATGGACACTTTATTATCATTGATAGGTTACAATTTCATCCATGTACATTTTATATGTGAAGAAATATTCTTGGTAGGACTGGTATGGGTATGAGTATTTGGGGGGGGGGGGGGGGGGGGGAGGCTAAAATCATACTCGCTTCATACCAATCAAACATTTTACAGTTTTATCCATATCCATTCAATGCGAAGATTCCCTGTGTTGATTGGGTTGAGGGCAGTCGGATACCCACGTCTAGGGGTGAAAATCGGTACGGTATCGGTATCCCAATACCAAATACCGAAATCCTGAATACCCAATTGCACCCTAAAATCAATCTCAATCTCGATCCCTAAATAATTTCGGTATCCCAATCCTAATCCCTCATTATTTTGATATCCCAATCGATAATTCTGTATCTCAATCGGTATTATCGAATACTAAATTAATTGCCTTTACAATTAATAATTAAATATATAAATTAGATTTGATTGTTTAATATAAGACAAAGGAACTAAAACCCTGTTTAGTATAGTTTCCATCCTGTTGTGTTTTACACAGGTTGTGCAACAAGAAAGCAATAGCAACAGCTACACAACGGAAATCAACATCATGTTTACTTAAAAAAATGAAAACTCTGGAACAATGAAAACCAAAATAGCAATTGTGTTCATTATCGTTGTTCTCTTGTACCGGTACAAACAAAAAAAACTAATTAGTTGGGGAAATAGTGAGAGCTGAAGACCGCCGGAGATCGGAAGCTGTCGGTCGTATCTCGTCCTCACCAACATCTACTATGCCGCTACCGTCCTTGGGGAAATCTCGAATACAATCTCCCCATTCAAATCTGATCTTCTTGTCTAGAGCTAGGATATGGATAAGAAGAATAGAGGAGAGATGACATCTCAAGTTTTCGTCATTAGTAATCTTTAATTTGACAAATTGAAGGGTGAGAGAATAGTAATACTAGTGTTTGATTTTTGGTGTTCTGAAAATAACACTAGATTGGTGTGGTTAAGGGTAGTGTAGTAGTGAATGAGAGAGTCTGGTTGAGAGGATAAAATACACACTAGCTTATATTTCGGTATTGTTTGGTATTTCCGTATATACTGATCTCAATCCCGTAATCCCTAATACCAAATAACAATTGAAATTGAATCTCAATTCCAATCCCAAAATTAATATGTGTATTCGATAATTACCAAATATAAACAAATTCAGTACAATATTCAGTATATCTCAAATATCAATACCAAACTTCCAGCCCTACCCACATCCATTGGGTTTGATTGCCATTCCTGTACAAAACAAGTCGACCTTTCCCAGTCAGAACTCAGAAGTAAACCTACAGGCGATAGTGGTTGATGAATTGTCTTCATCTAACTTTATCAACCCATATATATATATATATATATACATGAGTTGATATATGGAAACTGCTACATCAGCCAGCAGTGAGGGATTTACGGAGGGGCATTTTTGCCAAACAGGAGTAGCAGTTACAAAGCCAGAAAAAATGAAAATGGGCCACTAAATTGGGCTTCGATTTTTGGCCTCTTGGATTGCTCATGATTAATTGATAAAAAACAAAACATAACATTCTAATTGTGAAATATAAATCACGCTTTGAATCCTATCAATGATTAACAAGTTGCATAATGGTTAAGTGGAACAATAAACCTAGAATAAAATCATAAAATTCAGGGGTTGCTGGATGACTAAGTGTCAAAATAAAACCTAGAATGAGGTCGTGACCACCAATCCCAACTTAGGAATAGTCATAAGTCCATATTGAATACTGCTAGCTAACCTTCTCAACCTTTGAGTGCACACGTAAATTTATAAATAAAAGCAGTACGCAAACCCAATACTCGAGATTATGTGTCGTACAAATACTGAAGCTGATGGACGATCGGTTCGTCCATCGCGTAATCGTAACAACTAAACTAAAAGAAACTGAAAATACTGGTTTATTCTTCTTTGACTGATTAAAACGTAGAGACAAAGTACATATTTGTAGGAATAATCCTACAAACCCTTTCCCTCCCGAATAAGGTAAACTAATCCTAGACCAACTCCTAAACAATAACTTCCTTAACAAGAAATAATAATCATAAAGTATCCGAATAAACAAAATAACAATAATAATAGAAAAACAGATAATGGCCTACATGCCCACAAAAAACGTGTACGCATCAAACCTCCCCCCTTCGAAGAACTTCGTCCCCGAAGTTCAAGCGACATCTCAACCCGGATCGATGAAGAAGAAGCTTTCACACTTGTTGTCGACAACGAAGATAGTGATTGTTCTTTTACGACGTTTCCAATTGGGCTCAGGGACGTGAACGAATCCTTTAACTCCTCCAACTTCAGTTTCCTCATTCTTCCTTCGAGGGAAACGCCTCCCCCCTTCAAGACGGATGACGGTAACGTCTTTGATGTGTGGCGCGGCATCAACCAAGCCATGACTAGCGAATGATAGGGAGGCCGGTACCTCTGGCTTGCGGCATGAGAAGGCGGCATCCTCTTCCGCAATTGTCGCTGGTGGAGGCGCTGGAGCTAGCTTCTCGTCAGCAACGGCTTCACGATTTAAGTCTTCCTTGGCGGCCATGGTCGCCGGTGGCGTGGTCTTCACCGAGTTTCCTTGGTGATTCCACCCGTCCTGTTCTCGGTGGGCCCTTCCAAAGTCCATAACCCTCTTCATGGGAGAGCCCTCCAACTTGACCTCGACCTCTTCATTCATGAAACTCACGATCGACTTGTCCCAATATATCCATGCATATCTTAGTTGCCGAAACCACTGCACGCCAAGGACAACTTCAGTTCCGCAATCTAACAATTCATACAAGTCCACATCGAACTGTACCCCTTGTATGTCAATCGGGTCGGCCTTGTAAAATCGGTCACATACCAAGATTTTCCCAGTCCGTACCTTGGCCTTGAACGGAGAGATTGGTTTAGCTTGCAAGCCTAAACACTTAACGATGTCAATTTTGATGAAATTGTGGGTCGATGATCTATCGGCTAGGGCAGCCATAGGTTCTTTATGGATGGTGGCGTCAAGACGAATGATGGCGGCATTGTAAACTCCCGTAAGACCCGTGACCGAGATCTCGGCGTCAGGCGGTTCGTGGATCTCGAATGGTAAAGCTACTGTTAGCTTCTTCGCTGGTGGCACCTCGATAGGCGATCCATCCACCTTGTCGCTGCGGATCGTGGTTGCGCGCAGGACCTCTTCCCGACGTTGGTGGTTGAACGTCGACGATGTCTGCCCTGGGAACTTTTTAGAGCTCGGTTCCGTCGAACCAGGCTCTGATACCAATTGATGGACGGTCGGTTCGTCCATCGCGTAATCGTAACAACTAAACTAAAAGATACTGAAAATACTGGTTTATTCTTCTTTGACTGATTAAAACGTAGAGACAAAGTACATATTTATAGGAATAATCCTACAAACCCTTTCCCTCCCGAATAAGGTAAACTAATCCTAGACCAACTCCTAAACAATAACTTCCTTAACAAGAAATAATAACCATAAAATATCCGAATAAACAAAATAACAATAATAATAGAAAAACAGATAATGGCCTAGATGCCCACAAAAAACGTGTACGCATCAGAAGCTTACACATTCATGGTTTTCAAGCCGTTATCAAACCGATCAGTTGGACTAGATACAATTGGAGCAGCCTCCTAAATCGCTGCCACAAAGCTGAATTTCTGTCAAACCACAAAGTTGGTGGATCTCCTCAAACTGACCGATTACTAGCCAAGACACGAATCGGATTCTGGTGAAAATGAATAAACAAAAATGATAAAGGTCACCTACTATTCACTGTATGAGAGAGGGCCAGAGAGCGACATAAGAAGGATGGGGAAGGGGAGGGGAGACAAAGATATTGAGATAGAGAGCATAAGAAAAAAGGGATTAGAAAGCCGGATTTCTAAAGAGGTAGAACTCAGTCAAACCACATTGGTTGATTTGATCAAACTAATCGAACAGCAACCCAGCCACCAAATGGATTTTGGTGAAATTGAATTAAAAAGAACAAAAACGAAAAAATCACCTTGATCACCTACAATTCACTGTGGGAGAGAGGCAATGGGGAAGAGGAGGTGGGCAAAGAAAGTGATATATAAAGAAAAAGAAAGAAAGGGTTAGTGACTCACATAAATTTGACCATTGAACTCCACTTGACTAATTTAAATTAGTTTCACAATCTTACTCAAGTTGCACCTACTCATTAAATCTTAGACCACTTACTTGATTAATTCAATCGTTTATATAAGTTTGACGATCTTGCCACATTACACTTATCAGCATGATCAGAAAACTCACCCGGCCAATCGGCAGGGCAAAATGCTAGTCTTTTAGTATGCAACAACACCAGTCGTACAGTTTCCTATTAATTTATTTTATACAGCACATACGACAAAGAATGTTATCTGCTCTAGTGCTCTTGCTCTCGTATGTTTATCGCCGCCTCTCTACAACGAATCGACCACAGGTCAGCTCAAGAAACAATGATTCGAAGCTAGTACGGTACATAAGAAACTGAAACACTTATAGATTCACAAGAGATTATATATACAATAATACCAAATAATAACACACTTCTCATCTGGGTTCGACCAAGCTCTGTGTCGTACTGTTCTCAGAAGAATGGCTATAGGACTCGGAAGCGGTAGCTGGTCTTACGGGCTTCCTAGTTTCACCAATCCCGCTACTATTATGCTGATGGTTCAAAAATGGCGGCTGTGTTGGGGTAGGAATTTCATGGTCTCCCACCACCATCTTTGCCACCACTGACATCGATGGCCGCAGGTCCGCGGAAGCTTGCACGCATAACAGCCCTATCTCTAGCAATCGAGTGGCTTCCTCCCGTTGGAAATCGCCTTGTAAATCTGGATCAACAGCTTCACACAGATCACCACTTTCATACAGATTCCACACCTGCTTTATATTTGGAGGAACATATTACTCTCGATTTGTAATGTTACATTCAAAAAATTAAAAGGACAGCCAAAAAAGGGGTGGATTCAAGAGTTCAAACCGTTTGAATAATAGAATACGGGTTCCTCGAGAAGGAGTTGCTTCTCCTCCCCGTCACAACTTCTATCAGCACGATCCCGAAGCTGTAAACATCTGCCTTCTCGGTCAGCTTGCCTCGAACAACATATTCAGGAGCCATATAACCTCTGCGACACACACAAACCAACAATCAATCAATGTTGTTTAAACTCCAATCTGAAGAATGCATTGCAAATAGAACAGAAGTGACTGCATCTTGTTCAGTATAAAGCTTACAATGTGCCTGCAACTGCAGTGCTTATGTGGGTTTGGCCTTCGGGAAACAATCTTGCAAGTCCAAAATCAGCAATTTTGGGAGAGAAATCTTCATCCAGCAGAATATTGCTCAACTTAATATCTCTATGTATGATTCTCAATTCTGACTCCTCGTGAAGAAAGGCTAGTCCTTCGGCTGTTCCAAGTATGATATTAAACCTTCTCTGCCAAGTCAACGGCTCAGCATTCATGCTTCTTCCCGAACCCACTGGCAAACAAGAAACGGGAACATTAGGCTCGCCATGGCCATCGTTCTTGGAGAGAATAATTTACCACAGTCGAAAACAAAGAGAGACTAGAACTAGAAAGCCAACCATCAAGGTATTCATGAAGGCTTTGATTTGGGACGTATTCATAAATTAGGAGGCTTTCAGGGCCAGTGATGCTGCAACCCAATAACTTGACAAGGTTCTTGTGTTCAATTCCACTGATCAAGTTGACTTCGTTGAAGAAATGATCCACCCATTGCCTTGTGTTGAAGAACAGCCTTTTTATAGCCACTGTTTTGCCATCACCCAATATTCCCTGACCAAGCTCTCCACTAAAGGTCGTAAACTGAACCAGCAAGAACTCATTGCTACATCACAGAGATTATAATGAGCTGAAACTTTACCTTGTAAACCGACCCAGATCCTCCTTGTCCCAGCTTATTAGATTGGTGGAAGTAATTGGTAGCTTTTTCAAGAGACTCATACGAGTGATTGAGCCTGGACTTGTTCACAGTAAGTAGAAGAGCTCCAAGTTCCTTCCTCTCTGAAAATTCATAACCAAAAAAGCCAAGAATCAGAACATCATTTCTTCCCCTAAGGGGCACAAAAGGGGCTCAGATTCATTCAACATTACGTTAAGCTTACGGGTTTGCTTTCGGCGGATCCTTCTCCTCGCAAGTAAAACAGCAGCTAAAACAACGATCCCAGCTGCCACAGCTGCGGAAATCGAAGCCAAAATCACACCCAAGTGGCTTCGCCCTGATGATCCAACAGCCGATTATCACTAAACAAATCAACCCTTTTTGAACTCTGGAAATTTTGTTTCACAAGCCGGAGACAATAAAACTACCTCCGTTTCCAGAAGGCGCGGGGGAGCTGGAAATGTTGTAGAATCTCTGATTGGAGTATCTCATATAACACCCAGCTTTCAGAACTCTGCCTTCTACCTTGGGAGTACAATTCCCAATCTCCGAAACCGCGTCCGCCAAACAACTCCGGCAATCGCTTCCGTTGACCAACTCCCAGCACTGGGCTAATCCGAAAACCGAAACGTTTCCCCTCTCCACCGAACCCACCGAGAACCCGTCATTGGCCACCGCAAGCTCGCTCAAATTCCTAACCAACGCAATCGCACCGGCGCCGTAAACCCCCAAATCCCCACCGGAGAAATTCTGCGGCGCGCAGACCGCGGCGTCCTGGGGGCCGGAGCTCTCGTTGAAGAAGTCGTAATCGTCGTACCTCATGTAGCAGCCGTCGTAGAACAGGCGACCGCCTCGGACCGCCCGCTGGAAGGGGAGGCAGCGGAGGATCTGGGTCTTGCACTGCGCGAAGCAGACGTTGCAATCTCTGCCGTCGAGGTCCTTCATACACTCGCCAAAGGCATAGACCGTGGCATTTCCGGTTCCTTTGATGACGGCGGCGTATCCCTGGTTGGCGATTAGTGGGTTCATGTCGTTGAGCGCCGCCAGGAAGTTGGTGATGAAGGTCTGCCGGATTGGGTCTGCGGCGGTCCGGTTGGCGCACATCAGAGCTGCCTCCGTGGCTCGGGGATCGGAGAAGGAGAGTTGTACTAGGAAGAGAGACGGGAAGGAGAAGACGAAAACGAGTAGGTAGCCATGGCGGATGAAGAAGAAAAGAGAAGAGCTCATTTCCATGGCTTTCCTTTTTTGTTTAATTTCTCTGTTTTTGGTGATGGGTGGTAAGTTAATTTTCAGTGATAAATGTAACCGACTGAAATTGGCAGGAAGGCATGGAGGAGCGGTTGGGCGTTGGCCGTTGCGTAAGGGAGATGCTTCTGGTGAATTTCCGAAGAACAACGAGGACGAAGATGGAAATTGCAGAGGCATGTACTTCTAGCTTTCAAATGGTTTCAACTTTTGACTCTTAGGATGTGGAAGCGGCGGGCGACTTTCCAGAAGAAGGGAAAAATTTTTAGAAGCGCCGCCTTTTAGTTTTATTATAAAATGGCCCTAATTTTATTTTATTATTAAAGAAGCTGCAGCTGCAATGGAGCAACAAGCTCAGATGCTACTCTGAATAACCCTAGTGCTGAATGTATAGAAGTGGAGAAGAGGATGAGTTTGGAGTACATGGAGGTTAAGAAAGCTGAAGAACTCTACTACAAACAGAAGTCACGGGTTCAGGTTATCAAGGAAGGGGACTCAAATATATCATTTTTCCATAAAATGGTCAAGGTGAAGACTTGGAAACAACAGATTACTCGCATGATGAATAAGCAAGGAGAAATGGTGGCTGATATACTGTAGGTAGGTGCTATACCAGTGGATTTCTATAACTCAAGCTTATTGATATTGAGGATCCACATGTTGAACATCAATTTGTTGAATTTTATCAAGGGATTTTACACCACAGATTAACAGTTAAGGATGAGTCACTGCTAATGCAGGGCATTACAAGGGCAGAAATAAAACAAGTTTTTCACTCTCTTGGTCGAGACAAGGCATCAAGACCTGATGGTTTCCCGCTGAATTTTTTAGAGTGCATTGGGATGTCATTGGTAGAGATGTAGATGATGTAACACTTGCTTTCTTCTCCATTGAGATTATGCCTACTATTGTTAATAACACTATTTTTGCTCTGGTTGCTAAGATCCCTAGTGCAGAAAAAATGAAGGGCTTTAGACCTATTTCGTGCTGCAACACCCTTTACAAGGGTATATCTAAAATCCTAGCAAATAGGTTGTCTATGGTTCTCAATCTGCATTCATTAAGGGGAGAGCGATTAGTGATAATATCTTGCTAGTTTCTGAGCTTGTGAGAAATTACCACTATAAGAATGTTACTCCAAGATGCATGGTGAAAATTGATATCATGAAGGCGTTTGACTCTGTTAACTGGAAGTTTCTCTTCACTGTTATGAAAGCAATGGGGTTCCCCTCTGGCTTTCTTAAACTGTTGGCTGCCTGTATCACTACTCTAGTTATTAAAGTGCATTGAATGGTGGTTTATGTGGGAATATCAAAGCTTGTAAGGGGATAAGACAGGGAGACCCACTGTCTCCCTACCTATTCACCATAGTTATGGAGGTATTAGATGGTTTGGCTAGGAAGGCAGTCCAGGATAATCAAATTCCCTTCCACCAAGGTGTAAGCCTCTTCTGATCACTCATTTATGTTTTGCGGACGATTTGATGAAGTTTACAAATGGGTCCGTTAGAGGAGTTGCTAGGATAAGGAGGTTAATGGATGGATTTTATAAGTTGCCAGGGCTCAAGTGCAATGCAGCAAAGTGCCAGTTGTTTTGTGCAGGGATTTCCAAAGAGGAGACACAATATATCTCAGGTATCACAGAATTCCCACTGGGAACTCTGCCTGTTCGATACTTAGGGGTGTCGTTGATCACTGGTAAACTTACACGACAGGACTGTCAAGTTCTTGTTGATAAAATTACACAGAGAATGCGCAGTTGGAGATCGAGATTACTGACATATGCTGGGAGAATCCAACTCATCTCCACTGTGATCACTAGTACGTTGCAATATTGGCTGAACATTTTTCTGCTTCCTCAGTATATCATCAAGGAAGTTGAGCGATTATGCAATGAGTTTCTTTGGGATTCTGCTGTGGATGGAAGTCGGGCACGTGCAGTGATGGAGTGGGACAAACTTGCATTACCTAAACAGGAAGGAGGACTGGGGATTCGTAACTTCAGTTTATGGAACAAAGCGTGTGTCCTAAGGCATATTTGGGAGGTCTTAACTTTCGGAGGCTCTCTTTGGGTGGCGTGGGTCACTAGATACATGTTGAAGCATAAGAATATACGAGAGGTGTCTGGTACATCTGCTGGAACATGGGTATGGAGGAGATTCCTGAAATGTAGAGAGTTTGCTTACCCTCACGTTACAGGGGTTCCTCCTCATGTGTTATGGCAAGGTGAGCAAATGCAAAAGTACTCTGTTAAGAGGGTTTGGAATTCTATAAGATCGACCACGAGAAGTGAGCTTGTGGAAGCTTGTATGCTCAAAGGAGATAATCCCCAAGCATGGCTTTATTTTGTGGTTGGCTATGCGTAATAGAATGGTTACTCAGGATAAGTTGATTGCTTGGGGAAAATCCTTGTCAGGTTTATGTCTATTGTATCCAGGAGGCTTGGAGAGTCGAAGCCATCTTCTGGTGTCTTGCTGTTTGTGTGCTGCATCAGAGCTTAAAATGTTTCTTGCCTCCAGCTGCATGGGACTGGGATGGGATTGTGACTTGATGTGAGCAGCAGTTAAGTACGAAGAACCCAAGGCATTGTTTATACAGGTTACTATGGAGCACAACCCTCGGCCATATCTGGCGAGAAAGATGTACCAAGCTCTATGGCAAGATGACTATTATGCTGCCAGGAGAGTTGATTAATGTAATTCATAGTGATGTTTTTTTTCGAGTGGCTGGGGATCCTATTATTCAGACCGAGTTGGAGGATATAGATAGGTTATAGTTATACAACTTACACCTTTATAGTGTTGTTGCCCTTTGCTGGGTGGTTTTTTGTTGTACTGTTTGAGAGGCACATCAGGTTTTTCTGATGGTTGCCTGAGCTTAATGCAATTTTTTATTTCACATTAAAAATACTTCATTTGGATGGGTTAAATGTCAATGTGGTATTTATAGAGTTAAATAACTCATTTATTGTTCATGTGGTATTTCAGTGTTATTTCAGTGGTAATTGAAATAAAGTATCTCATTTGGATGAACCATGCACCTACACTCCAAATGATAAGATTCCAAACTCGCTAAAGTTAGTTTTTTTTTATCGAAGTCGCACAATTCAAAACAGACTAGAAAAGGGAATTTTTAGGGTTTTTGTCTCTTTGAGATAGGCTTTAATTGAAATTGCAATCTCAACACAAAATGGGGAGAAGGCTTTATTAGTATAATAGGTAGAATCAGTGGCGTAGCCAGAATTTCATTCAAGGGGGTGCATTAAAAAATATAACATAAAATAATTTTTGACAATAATTCGTTATGAAGTTTCATGTTCATATTACCAAATTATTTTAAAACTACATAATTATTCAAATTATTAAGATTGATCTTAATGTTATTTCACCATATCATCATTCACAATTTGGTTTCATTCTATTAGAGTGGTCGAGTATTCCATTGCAGAAAATATTCTACTAATATGTGTATTGACAATAGGTACGTAGTAGCAAACTAAACCTAATTTCATAAGCAAATACATTGACAAGAACCAATTTTCTCTTCTGACTATCGTTGTCGGACAAAGTTATTGATTTTCTCTAATAATCCGCATGTCATACCCATCTTAATAAACTATATTAATGTAGATATTAGTAGATTAAATTAATTTATATAATCAATCATGGTCGGTTACTAAAAATTTGCGAATTAACAATACGATTTTCGGTTCATTGTTCATTATTGATATATTAGTAGTTTAGTACTACTAATTTTTTGTGGTTCTCAAAATCAAGGGTGTGCCATTGAACCCCCTAATAAGGGGCTAGCTCCGCCCTGGGTAGAATCTCGACCACAATCAAGGGAAAAACTTGATTGGTACAGAGAAAAGTTCAAGACTAAAGCTCAAAACCAAAATAAAATTATTTTTCTGCGAAAAACTAACCTTAAAATCCGAGTTTCAGCCTTTATATAGATTTGAACAATTAAAAATAAAAAAAATAACTTAAGAACACAGAATCACATCACCCAGGTCCGATCCCTGGTCGGACCTTGCAAATACCCAATTAGGGATTTTAACCCACCGACTGGGGCCCTCTATGGATCCATTCCCCGATCAACTGGCCAGATTCCGGTCGGGGATTTAATATATCTGACCAGGGTCTTCGTTTCTCCTTCCCCAGGCTTCCTCCTCATCTCCCGGTTGGGGGTCACATCAGTCATTTCCCGTTGGAGAAGCTTTGCCCTCAAAGCTTGTATTTTCCTGCAAGAGACAACATCAACAACATTTTTCAATGGACTTCTCCTCAGTTCAGTCAACATATTCCTTCGAGCCTTCAGATGTGTTCCAGTTTCATCCTTCGACTTCGAGCCACTTGCAATTCCTTTCTCCTTGGCCCAGTTCTTTGCCAATTGTTGTTGATCTTCCCAGACTTCAGCTAGTGACAATGGATTTAGCAAAAACTTTTGATCTCCTTTCTTGAACTAGTAACTATTGTGTCTTCCATCATGAATAACTCCACAATCATATTGTCGTGCACTTCATATGTATAATCACCGATATGAAAACAAACCTTGGCCTTCTTGTTGACTTAGATATTTCCATAGTTGTTCAGCCCATGCAGGGTGTATGGTTGAGGATGCTTGATGGTGCTCAACCCCAGATTCTTAACTGCATCCAGACTAACCACATTGGTGCAACTTCCACCATCGATGACCACAGATAACACTTTCCCGTCGACCAAGCAACGAGAGTGGAAAAGATTATCTCTCTGCTCTGTCACTATATAAGCCTCAATAGATAAGGCTTTGCGGTTGACCCCAAGAATTTTACCTATTAGAGATTTTTCAGCCTTGATGTGCTCATCCACATCATCGTCTTCATAATTAAAATTAGAACTGAAACCATTCCCCATGGGCTTCTCTTCATACTCCTCCTCAGAAAAGTACTTGACATCTCGCAAGACTAGAGCTTTCTTGTTGGGGCACTGGTTTGCCTTGTGACCTCGTCCCAAGCACTTGAAACATTGGATGCTTTCACTTGACCTTTCATTCTTAGCTTTGATGACTGGGTTCGTGTTCCGAACAGCTAGATTGTCACCTTCTTGCTTAGGGTGATTCAGGGTAGTCTCGGGAATTCTCTCGCTCAACGGGTTTGGGTGAAGGTGGGTACCTTCTTCCCAAACTCACCTTCATCTGCTTCTCCACCTTAATGGCTAGGTGAACCATGTCTTCCAGCTCCACAAACTGACGAAGCTCGACTTCGCGTTTGATCTCTCTGTTGAGCTCATGTAAGAAATGAGCAATAGCTGCTTCCTTGTCCTCCCTCATATTTTCCCTCATCAAGAGCTGTTCAAGCTCCCGAAGGCACGACCCAGCCAATCTACCAGGAGCGTATTGCCGACAGAAGGGACAAGTTGGTCGGTGCACACCGAAAGGCGATCGACCCACCCATCCCAAGGTCCAACCACGAGCTTTTTAACTGCAACAACTTAAATATACGATATTGGAGCTAGAATTACCGCGGTTGCTGGCACCAGACTTGCCCTCCAATGGGTACTCTTTAAGGGGTTTAGATTGTACTCATTCCAATTACCAGGTTCAAAGAGCCCAATATTGTTATTTATTGTCACTACCACCCCGTGTCAGGATTGAGTAATTTGCGCGTCTGCTACCTTCCTTGGATGTGGTAGCCGTTTCTCAGGCTCCCTCTCCGAAATCGAACCCTAATTCTCCGTCACCCGTCACCGCCATGGTAGGCCTCTATCCTACCATCGAAATTTATTAGGACAGAAATTTGAATGATGCGTCGCCGACACAAAGGTCGTGCGATCCGCCGAGTTATCATGAATCATCAAAATTTACAATGTTTATCATATTTTGAAAAAAAATTTACACAATACACTAATTATGTACAATGCTTAACAAATTTCTTTCAATATACCCTACTAGATCATCATTCATGAACTTATCGCCTATTCGATTCTGAATTTGCTCTTGATTTAACCCATAACTTAAAAGTCTCTCAACATTTGGAGTTGAAACTGATAAAATTAATACAATTTTGATGAGCAAGCAGATCCATGGATATTATAGTTTCAACTTTCTCTCCATTATGACCTCAACTATTCATTAGTTTCTTTTAATTCATAAAATAAATCATCATTTTTAACACAATGATAATATTCCCAAAATCTTATAGAAGAAAAAAAATCAGAAAGGTGACAAACTCTTCTGGATAAATTCATGTGTCAAAATGCGGTGGGGATAAGGGGTAGTTCGTTGGTTAAAATTTACTTTGAAAATTTTGGGCATAGGGGCTACACGTTTATAATTGCACGAAAAAATTACAACAATAGATGAAGTTTAGTGAAATAGGAAAAAATTTCGCTAATTACTATTGTGTTATAGATTCGAATCACATATATTGTCATTATTATTTTTTTATACATTTTTCATACTCAAACTAATAGAGGTTATTAATCTCGGGACATCACCTACCCTCCACTTGGGTCTACCACTGGATGTTATGCTTTGCCTCTACTGTCTTAGGGCTAAGTAACGTGTGTTTACTTGTATTCTAAGTTACCTACTGATCATGTAATCCTAGTCCTTGTAGTATACTACTCTTGTAATCCTTGGGTATAATTACCCCTTGTGTTAATAATATTACACACGTTTTACCCAAACCTTACATGGCATCAAAGCTGGCTTTCCAACCCTCAAAACCCTATTTTTTTCCCTAACCCGTCGACGCCAACGTTCAGCGTTTGTCCTCCTGTTGCTGCTCCCATGTTCGGTGTCAGCTCCGAGTCTTCCGATGAAGTCTCCTCCGGCGGTTCTGGTGGAGAGCCTACCCTCGTCACGTTCAATCCAGCTGCCTCTCTCCCGGTGAAGAGCCTGCTCTTATTTCTCATGGCTGGTCTTGATCTCATGGGATACCTTGATGGTTCCATCGCTGCCCCCGCTGCTACAGTCACGGTCAACGGTGCCTCGACGCGCAATCTAGCCTACCTTCGTTGGTATCGTCAGGACCAACTTTTGTTGAATGGCATCTTCGCCTCTGTCACCGAAGGTGTCCTTCCCTTTATCAGTTCGTCGGCCACATCTCATACGTCTTGGACGACTCTTCAACAACTATATGATGGGTCTTCGCAATCCCGTATCATGAGCCTCCGTGATCGCTTGTATGGAGAGACAAATGGTGATCGAGATGTTGTTGCTTTTGTCCAACAACTTCGTTCTCATGCTACAGAGCTTTTTCTTTTCAGTGCGCCTGTCACCGATGCTGAATTGGTTACTTTGTGTCTACATGGACTTGGGCCTGACTACCGCGAGTTTTCTGCTGCTATTCGTTCCCGTGATGTCACTCCACCTCTCGAGGATC